CGGTGTTTTGTAGTTCTACCTTTGGAGATCTTTCCCCCACTTGATTAAATATATACCTAGGTATTTTATTTTCTTTGTTGCTACTGTCAAAGGTCTTGATTTTATTTTCAGCTTTACTTTTTTTTTTTTAATTTCAGAATATTACGAGGGCATAAAAGTTGTGATTACATGTTTTGCTTTTGTGCAGTTTGAGTCAAAATTATAAGTATGCCTTTCACCAAGATAGTATGCATCATACTCATTAAGTGTAAATTTACCCATCCCCTCCTCCTCCTCTCGCCTACCTGGTTTCCACTGAGCTTTACTACCATATGTGTACATGGGTATTGATCAATTAGTTATGATTTAAGACTGCATACCCGTGGTGTTTGTTTTTCCATTCTTGTGATGCTTCTCTTAGAAGAATGGTCTCTAGTCCCATTCAGGTTGTTGCAAAAGGTATTAGTTTACCATTTTATGGCTGCATTGTACTCCATAGTATACATATGCCACATTTTATTAATCCACTCCTGTATCGATGGGCACTTGGGTTGATTCCACATCTTTGTGATTGTACTGTTATAAACATTCGAGTGCCAGTGTCTTTTTAATTCATATTTTGAATATTTTTTGTTTTCTTGTATTGTTTATCTGTGTTCTTTTGAATCTGTCTCTTTTGATGCTTCTTTAATATCATAATTTTGAATCCTTTTTAAGGCATTTTATACATTACTTTTCATTGGAAACTTTCTGGAGAATTACTGTGTTTCTTTGGTGGTATCACTATGCCCTTGTTTCTTTATGTTTCTTATGTTCTTATGTTCATATCTGTGTTTCTGGTGCAACAGTTGCTTCTTTCAATTTTTTGGATTGACGTTTATGGGGAAAGAATTTTTCCTGAACAAGTATCTATGCTGTTGGTTGGGTAGGGTATGTTAGCTTTAATTCTGGATGTGTGCAATAGTGTAGTCTCTATATGATTTCTCTGGCTGAAAACAACATTGAGTGGTGTCTATGATTTTCTGACTAGCTTAAGCTACAGTTGCTAGGGCTGTGGTGGGTTTTTTCTGGGAGATGTCATGGGCCAGTGCTTAGGTCTCATTAGTGGCAGCTGAGGGCTGAATGTGCCTGTCCTTGGGCCCCCAGATGACACATGTGAGCACTAGTGTTAGTGAGTCCAGGTAGGCTGATACTTGGGCCTCCATGTAGTTTGGTTGGGTGCAGGTAGTGTCAATGGTGGGCCGGGTGGGTGGATGAGTTCTTGAGCCTTAAAACAGCATGCATGGTATGGGTGATGACAGTAGTGTTGATGGGACAACTCTTGGGCTCCCAGGTGGCATGCTTGAGTACTCGAAGAGTATTGCCAGGTGGTGGAACCTGTCCTCAGGCCCCTTCAATGGTTTGCATGGGGATAGATTGTTATGGGCAAGGCAGGGAATTCTTTGTATTTTTACAATTTTATATTTTTATAATTTATATTTATAAATTCTCTGCTATCTTTATTTTCCTTCCTTTGCAGTACATTTTCAATATGTGAATATTTACTGCTTTTGAAAAGTTATATAGATTATTGCATTCAAGTGCTTATTGATATTTCTTATATTACATAACTTCAAATTCACTTTAAGTATTTTGCTTATTACATGTAGAGTATTGATCAAGAAACTTAGAGAAGGATATAAACTCTGAACTGATTATCTCTAATAGATTCAATCATGCTCTTCCTCTACATGCAATGATTTTGGTCCAGTTACTTAACTGTTCTCTGCCTTAATTTCCTATTTCATACAAACTTGATGGGTTTCCAACTGGATGATAGTTGTGAGAATTAAAAGAAATAATTTTAAAAGGGTGTTTCACACAGAGTAGATACATAATGAATGTTAGCTAATAATATTACTAACAGAAGACAAATTTTCAAGTATATGCATTTATTTGAGAATAGAAAACCATTTTTGAAACACTAGAGTTTTCTCACAGTTCTTCAAAGCAAGAAGAATTTACAGGTATACAGTTTTGCAAAGAAAGCAAGAAAGGTTATATGTGACAAGATACCAAGCGTATATGGAAAATAACTACATATTATCACTTAAAACTAGTCTAAAAGTAAAAAAAACACCTTAAACTGAAGAAAATATCATAGAAAGTAGTTTCAGAAGTTCTATTTATTGCTTTATAATAAATTGACATAATTTAAACTGGAAATTCAAGAAGTAATTTGATTAATATCCTTTTAAATATTTATACATTTTATTTTTCTCTAGTATTTATATTTTGTTATTGTTGTTGTAGTTAGAGATGAGGGTCTCATGCAATACGTTGCCCAAACAGAACTCAAGTGATCCTCCTGCCTCATCCTCTCAAGTAGCAGGGACTGCAGGTGCATGTTGCTGTGCGTGGCTGTATTTATCTTACACTTAAATATTGTAATATTATCTTCCTTTTATAATTGCATTTACTATCACAGATTTTAAATAGTTTTGTTATCAACTAATGTATCTTTTGATCATGAAGCTGAAATTATATACTATAAAAAGATCTTTCAAACTCTTAATTAGACAAAATTCTTTCCTAGCATTATCATATTAGATAAGATTACTGTTCAAGGATTTTCCTATAAGTCACATACAATCATATATGCCAATACAACATGAAAGGATATCTTCATGGAAACTAAAGACTATGAATATTGTAGTTTGTGTTCGTTTAGTTATTTTTGGCAGCAGTAGATCAAAATTCCTACCTTGGTAAAAATTGCAGTTGTGTTTGTAACTTTCCTTACACGTTGCATGTTCATCTTTAAAAATTGTGGAAAATAAAGAAAGAGAAAAAAGACATAAAAATTCTACTCCCAGGATAATCATTATCACTTTAGTGATAATTATTTAGAAGAAAATTAGTATATTTTCTTCCCTTTGATTGTTTTCTTGTTTTTGATCATATAGTATGTAGTGGTGGTTAAGAAAACTATCCCTGAGCACAGTGTCTAAGCCCCTCCACTTCTAAGTTGTGTGGCTTCAGTTAACAACTTCTTCCAACCTTGGTTTTGTCATTTTTAAAATGGGAATGATCAGAGTGTTTTTCTTATACTATTATTCAGAGAATAAAATAAATTAAATAGAACATATTAAGTATTTATAAAGACACATATAATGGCTTATGTTGGAAAGGCAGTTCTGTATAATCTAATTTTATACTTTACATCATATTATATGCAATTTTCCATCTAATTGAGTATTTTTCAAAGCATGGTTTTTAATGGCTATATAAAATACCATTGTGAATTTGTTTAAGCATTTCTGTATTTTAGAGATTCAGTAGATTTCTATTCTTTCTTTCTTTCTTTCTTTTTTTTTTTTAAATAGACTATGTAGCCATTATTCTTTGATTTTTCCTAGGGCAAATTTCAGAAATAGAAATTACTGAGTTAAAAAGAATATGGATATTTTTAAGTTTCCTTTGTGTTATATATTGAAAAATTACCCTTTATCTTTCCTTTAGTGATTTCTGAAAGTGCTCATTTCTATGTACCCTTGTTGACAATGATATATTTTAAAAATTGAGAATGTATCTTTTGTATTTTTGTAACTACTTTTGTGACCACCTGTGTGATATATGAAATATGTCCTCTGAATGTTAAATCAGGCCAAAGACAAATATCAGTCTAATCCTCAGGCTCATGAAATATGCCTATATTAACTACACTTGTGCAGTTTTCACTGTGCAGCCATCAGAGTATGTGAAAGTAGTCTGCTGGTATTTATAAAATGAAGGTTATAAATCTGAGTTATATTCCCCAGAGATTTATGAACTATAAAATGGTATTATTATTATGTTCTGTCATTGCATTGTGCTCTTTAGCCATTTTGCATTTTATGTGGTAAGGCTCCTTAGTATCCATTTGCTTGAAGGCTACTGTGTGTACTCATTTTCTATTGTATTGTGGCAAATACTGCAATCTACAGGGTTCCTATTCATTTTGGAATTCATTTCACAGCTCACTAATTGTATGAATGAGAAGAGGAAATATATGCTTTTACTCTAAAGCATGCCAAGCAGATGGCCAAAGTTCATTGCTACTAGTACTGTCAGTGTGGTCCTCTTCTGTAGGTAGTGAGCCTGGCATCGATCTGCCAAATGTGAGGGTCCATTTAACACAGCACTTGATGGTTGTTGAGCCTCTGTTTTATTGTGACTTATAAACATTTTATTTTTTATCATCAACCTCTAAAGTGATTGATCATTTGAGCAGGTGCAAACACAGTAGAATTCATATTTGTTTTACTTGAGAAGCTAAATGAATTTTTATTCATATGGAAATTTTGGGCAAAGGAAACAGCACAAAAGATTAAGCTTAGTTTCTTGAAAAGAAACTAATACATGTATTGAGATTCAAAACTATAGCATCATTTCTGAGATGGAACCTTTTAAAAATTTGAGTTGAAGAAAAGATCAGGCTTTATATCTTTTTAAAGTTAAAAGGTTAAAGCAATTAAAGGGTTTAAGCTTTTTAAGCAAATCTCCTTTAAAATCTCTTTTTTCTTCTATACAAGGAAACTGTTTACTTATTTATTTTTATATACAATATGTGATTAACATAACCATTCAAAATGTTAGCAATTGCAGTGTGTGTGTGTGTGTGTGTGTGTGTGTGTGTGTGTGTGTGTGTGTGTGGTGAGACAGAATAAGATACCGAGAGAGTCTGAGAGAGTGACAAAAGGGAAATAGAGAATGTCTTCACAGGTTTCCCATTTCAACAAGAGATACTAGGACCATATGTAATTGGGTTATCACTTCAGGAAAGGGAAGCTGGATCAAATGTTCTAATAGAGCTGATACAGTAATTTGATAACAATGCCTTATTTAAGAGAACCAGAACATGTTAGAGATAATGTTTTCTCCCTTACATAAAGAAAAACAGGATATGTATTTCCCTCACTTCCCTCCACTTCCAAACCACTAACCACAGGTTTCACACATCGTATTGACTCTTCTATATTTCCCGTTCCCTTGCCTTTCAGACGGATGCTGCTCTGATGTACGATGCTGTGCACGTGGTGTCTGTGGCGGTCCAGCAGTTTCCCCAGATGACAGTCAGTTCCTTGCAGTGTAATCGGCATAAACCCTGGCGCTTCGGGACCCGCTTTATGAGTCTAATTAAAGAGGTACGTCAGGAGAAACACGTCTGCCTTGTTCCTTTTGTCCTCATGCTAACTGAAGTAAGATTATTGAAGTTTTTCTATCAGGTGATCTTTAACTTGTATCTTAAACTAAACTTTCCCTCTGCCCTACATAAGCAAAATTAACATTTTTTACTAAATAATAACAAAAGGGGAGGGGAATTCAATTATAAATAAATAGAATATCCATCACAATTTCTATCATAGTACTATGATCCATGAAAGCTTGATTTATGACATTGTAAGATTTTGCCTTTTTGATTCTTTTTTTCCCCTCCTTTTATTTCATTATATTATGGGGGTACAGATATTGTTGGGGTTACATATATTGCCCCTGCCACTCCTCCTCCCCTCTGTGCCAGCGCTTCAAGCGTGTCCACCCCCCAGTTGGTGCACACCACAGCATTATGTAAGTATACCCCCTTTCGCTCCTTCCCCCTCTCACCTGCCCACCACTCGATAAAAGGTTTGTTGTTTTTTTTTTACATTTTGGTTACATTATATTTCTTTGCCTCTCCCTAAGAAGGGTTATTTATGTAGAGAGATAGGTATTTATTTATTTATTTGAATTTTGCATTTTTTTATTCATTTTTTTAATTTCAGCATCTTATGGGGGTACAAATGTTGAGGTTACTTATATTGCCCATGCCTCCCCTCACCCCTCGAGTCAGAGCTTCAAGTGAGAGATAGGCATTTAAACAGTGTTTATATTTTAGGCAACAAAATATGAAATGCGTGTTTAACCTGAATGTCATTTGCACTTCACTAAAATTGCACCTAATTCGTGAAGCTTAAATTGTAGTTATTTAGATGAATAGTTCCTAAATGTAATGTCTAGTTATTTTAATTATATTAAAAGTTGACATAAAACAGAATATATAGATTAATCAAAGTGCAAAGTTTACTTCATTGTATAATACAACCATTCTTATGACCATATATCATTTTTATTATGTCTATTATAATTATAGACCAAGCATGCCCATAGTGAGAAAAAAAGGAAAAAATTTTAATGTTATACATGTATACACATATACATACATATATATTTTCTTTCTATTCTTCCTATCATGAAGGAAAATCCTTTGTTAGCTTAGGATACTTTTCATAGGTGAAAATTTAACTGAGCTTTAATCTTTGCTATGAAATATAAATAATAATACAGGTATTATTACAATATAAGATTTTCATTAATGAGTTAAATCATCAGTTCATCTTATGATAAATTATTCTTAATAAAAATAAAAGCTCAGGGTCATTATTAAGAATATCTAGGTCTTTGACAAAAAACACCTATACATTTTCTTCCTCTAATTTCTTATCAAACCTCAGATAGGTAAATTAATACTTTCTGAAGAATATGCAGTTTATTAGTTGCCCCACATCCTAACATTGACTTCTGGTATAAAACTGAGCTTTAAAGAGCTGTGAACAGGCCTGAGTAGTCTACAGGCCTGGCTAGTGAAAGAATTGATTTTTTTTGAACTCAGCTCTTGAGTATTGAGACCGTGACATGTCGAGCAGCCCTACAAGAAGCAGTTGTATGACATTCCCCATTGTATTCATTGTGCGGTGGAATTGAGAGCCTTGTCCACTAAATCACACAGTGTCCCCCTTATGAGGATCAACAAGAGAAATTTTTCTCAGGTCTCAGTACCAGGAAAAGCTGTTTCTCCTGAGCAGCTGGTATGTCTTAAATTGTAGACCCTGTATATTGTGTTTCATCATATTTTCTTCTTTGCTTTGGTTGTTAGGAAGTGAGGAATTGAATTTGTGATACTAGTATTAGTTTTACAGTTTCACCTGTGTACATTTTTTAATGCTCCTTCTATCCCAGATTTGTTTTATTATTCTATACTTCTTGTGCTTCTTGGTCCCTTGGTCTGTTTTTGTACTATTATGTATTTTTGTTAACCATCTGAAATTTTTCTCTTTAGAAGTTGAATTAAAAATATTTTTTCTTCCTTATTAGAGACTAGATAACTTATGTTTAACTTTAGAGAAGGGATTCTGCAATATGTATATAGATATATTCTGTAATTTTTAAATTTCATTTGTAATTTATTAGCCTAAAACTATTTATTAGCCTAAAACTAAGCCTATAACTAAACTTATCTGAAATCCCTACAGATAAGTACCCAAAAAACACATAGAGTCTGAGAAATGTAGACAATGATAATAATTTGTGATCCTTATTGAAATGTTACCCTTGATCTACTGGGATTTACTTCTTTGGGATCTCAGTATATATTATTTTAAACATTAATGTTGTGAGTATACATTCTATCATTTAAAATTTTTCATGTATAACTATTTTTTCATGCTATTGCAAAATGACAAATAATGGAAAACTTATATTTTCAGCTATATAACCAACAGAATGAAAAAGCTTCTTATATTTAAAAAAAGTCCTGATATTTGCTCACCTTTAAGGGGTAACAATGTTATGTAACTATATTATTATATTCCCACCTCCTCATATATGGAGAGCTCCTTCTAAAGAAAGCACAGCTTAGCATGAAGTAATTATAATACATTTTCACCAGTTTAACTGGGGAAGTAAAATAAGTTAATTATTCTAGGGCAAATGTGTGTAATTAAAGTGGCATAATATAGGTTTCCTGGATTCAGTTTCTTTCATTGATGTTTCGTTTCATATTATTATGAATTTAGAAGTGGTGTTTTATAACGGTAGTTCTATCTATAACCTCCAGTGAGATACTCCATATTTCATTTATCATAATAAGTGACTAAATTTTTCTCACTTTGCTAAAAACATTTCACTATTTAAAACATAATATCATGATCGCTGTTCGGCTAGTTCCAATTTAATAGTGAATACATGTGGTGTTTGTTTTTTCCTTCTTACTATACTTAACTAAGGAGAATGGTCTCCAGTTCCAACCAGATTGTTACAAAAGGAATTAACTCATTTTTTTATGGCTAGGTAGAACTCCATGGTATACGTATACCAAATTACATTAATCACCTCCTGAAATCATGGGCACTAGGGTCGTTATTTCCATATTTTTTTGAAATAGCTAAGTCATTAGGATGAACTTTGGCCATTATTTCCACATCTTTGCAATTGTGAATTGTGCTGAAGTAAAGCTCAACAGAAATCAAGCAAGCGTGAAGGGGGAGGAAGGGATTGGGTGAAATCACACTTAACAGGTATAATGTACTCTATCTGAGCGATGAGCACACATATAACTCTGTCTCAAACAGTACAAAAGCAATCCATGTAACTAAGACATTTGTACCCCTGTAATACTCTGAAATTTTAAAAAAAATCAAATTTCTCATAGAAAATAGTTATAATTGGAAAAATGCATTGTATAAAATGAAAAATTTACAATAAGTTTTATAGTGAAACTAGCTGAAACCAGGATAATTTATTTAGGAAAATATCCCATTTTAAAAATCTGTAGCAATGTAAATTAATGAAAAGTAATTAAAATCATTTTCCTATGTTTTGTGAAAAAATGTTTTATCTTCTCTTCCTTCACTTCTTTATTATCTTTTCTTTTTTCCGTTTCCATAGGCACACTGGGAAGGACTCACAGGCAGAATAACTTTCAACAAAACCAATGGCTTACGAACAGATTTTGATTTGGATGTGATCAGTCTCAAGGAAGAAGGTCTAGAAAAGGTACTTGAAGCATTCAGCTTATTTTCTTTAATTATTACATGAAATATATCCTAAAGAAAGAAGAAATATTCTCTGTTGTATCTGTTGTAATTACATTTCATTGACATTTGACTTTACTGAGTGACTCTAAACAATAAATATTTAATTCATTGTATTGAATATAATATTTGTAATTAGGATTCAAGGATAAAAGGTGTCTTAAAACAACTTAAATATTTTATTTTCTCACCAGGTTTTTCTGATACTTTGAAATGCATATAAAATTTAATTATTACTGAGATTTAATGTAGCAATTAGAAAATATGTGGTTTAATACGAGCCTTTGTATATGCAGCTTATAACCACTTGTGCTTGCATAGACTTTCCAACTTGGAAAAAGCCATAAAAAAGTATTAAATATAGAATTATGTTTCCATTGTTGAGTCATATTCAGGTGAAATATTTGAATTAACTATGCAGAATAAATTAGGTATGTCCTAAACGCAACACACCACACTGGATCTATATTACTTGATTCTATTTTTGGAGATTGTCATAAAGCACAAGCAAGGCTTATACAATTTGGATATTTGCTTACTTTAAGAACATTTTAATGCACATTTGCTTATATTTGTAATGTATACATTTGGATATTTACCTGATAGAGTCATTGAAAATTACAACTTAAAAAGATGTTTTTATAAGAACTTGAGAAAATTCTACTTGACTGAGATAATATTACATTAAAGATAGTAAGGTGTCCTATATTTCATCTAGCAATTAAACATGAAGCACTATTCATAGATGGAATCTGAAGAGGGAAGTTGAGTCCTAAGGGTACTTTTAGCCTAAGAGATAACAGCAAATTTGAATGCTGATTCCAATTATACAGGAGAGAGTAAGAACACATTTGTTATAATGTCACCCAGTTTAAGTACATCATGACCAACTGATGACTCGAACTGATAGGGCTGTTACGTCCTCCCACTGAGAGTTTCAGAGCATACCCTTTGTCAAAACCACAAAAGTCAGGAATACTTTATGATAAACTAGAACCTAAATATTCATGAAGCAGTTTCTTCCTAACTACCTTGCTCCCAAGATTAGAACATTAATTTGTATCCAAGACTGGAGTTGATAACGGTGGAGTTTGGCTAGCTCTTAAGGGTTTTATCTCATTGTTAACTGCAGATGTTATTTCCATATTTTTTTGAAATAGCCAAGTCATTAGGATGAACTTTGACCATTATTTACATTTTAATTGCATAAATGTAGTGATGCTCTTCATATAACCATAGATGTAGTCATGTTTTGGATTTAAAATAAAGAAAACATGTCAGAAGTTTTCTCTATGTTCTAATGTGGCTTATAGAAAGACCTAAATTGGCTGGGAACAGTGTCTCATGCCTGTAACCCTACTACTTTGGAAGCCAAGGCAGGAAGCTCACATGAGGCCAGGAGTTTGAGATCAGCCTGGGTACCACTGTGATACCTGACCTCTACAAATAATAATAATAATAAAAATATTAGCTGGGCATGGTCATAGCCAGGAGTTCAAGGTTACAGTGAACTATGATCACACCATTGCATTCTATCCTGGGCAACAGAGCAAGATCTTGTCTCAAAAAAAAAACAAAAAAAAAACCCTAAATATAATGGTTATCAAGTATATATGATAATCTACCATACCACTAAGCAAGGTAAAACAGTATGAATTATGCATGTTGTTCTGAAATTCCATAAGTATTTTGAATTCTCTTCTGAAATCTGAAAATTTGTTTTGCTAAATTAATTACACACTCTCCTTATCTTTAAGATACTTTTCATATAGAGTGATCAGATAATATTTGTGAATAAAAACAATCAAAAGCTATCTGTTTCAAGCCTTCAAAAGAGCAATGAAAATATTTCTGATAAAAGATATAATTATGACTGAGTATGCATATACCACATTTTATTAATCCACTCATATATTTATGGGTAATTAACCTGGATAGAACTGGAAACCATTCTTCTAAGTGAGGTATCACAAGAATGGAAAAACAAACACCACATATACTCACTATTAAATTGGAGCTAATCAAATAACACTAATGTACACATATGGAAATAAAATTCATTGTAAATCAGGCAGGTGGGAGGGGGGAGAAGGGGATGGGTAAATTCACACCTAATGTGTACAATGGACACTTTCTGGGTGATAGACACACTTATAACTTTGACTCAAACTTTACAAAAGCAATTTATGTAACCAAAATGTTTGTACTCCCTTAATACTATGAAATAAAATAGATTTTACAAAACAAAAGTAAAAAAAAACAAAGATATAATTAGTAAAGAGTCCCAGTAGATGAAGAACTTAGAATTAGCCTTTGAATGATGGGGAATTATTTATTGATAGAGATTGAATCATTTCAGAAAGAGGTAACAATATCAGGAAAGACATAGATAGAGTTTGATTTGATTATTACATACACACACACAGAGTAGAAGTGGGAGATGATAGAGGTGAAATGCTACATTGAGTCATAAAATGAATGCCTTGTCAGGATATTTGCAATGTATTATTACGCTACATAAGTTCAAAGAGAGAATAGCCTGGAGGTTGCTTGGGAATATATTACAGTTTGGAATAATTTTAGCATGGAGCATGAATTGGAAACTATTCTAAAGTGAAAGTGGAGATGACTAAACAGTGACAGGAGGCATTAACTGAACCTTCAGCAATGTTGTTAGTTCAAGGACTAGCAGAGCATTGGAACTATGGTTATAAGGAGAAATGGAGGAGCCTGGTAATGAAAGGGAGAGATACCAATGATAAAGGTACAAACCAAAGATTGGAAAAGACATGATCAAGTAGGAGAATTAATATTAGAAAGAAATTGGTACAAATCTTCCTTTGAAAAGACAGATAAGGTACTGAGAGTGGGCGAAGGTAAGTTACAGAGAAAGAGAACAAAAAGAGTTCACATCAAATGTTTTCAATGTTCTTAAAGATTAGTACATGAAGTCACCAGCTAAAAGATGGAAATAAATCTAGTCAGATCTTAAAAATAATTGGAAATGCCATTTTGGCAGATTTGATTTTGACTTAATAGTGATAAAATGCTGCTAGGTAGCAAAAGGTTCTCATTTTTTTAATTCAGTAGAATGGTTAAGAGCTCAAGGTCTAGATTCAGACAGAATTGGGCTCAAATTCTCACTCTTACCATATACTATTTATGGACAAATTTCTTAATCCCTCTAGAACACAATGTCCTCAACTGAATCATGAGGGCAAGAGAAGTATCTGTTTCATTAAGACTATATTTGCTAACTTAATTTTTTTCTTTTTCCTAAAAATTATGGTTGCCGGCCCGTAGATGAAGATGACAAAGTCCCTACCTTAATAACATTCACAGTTTAGAAAGGCCAATAGACAGTGATCCCAGGAGGCTTGAATTCCAGTTCCACTTCCATCACAAATAAGTGATGAACTTCATCCTTTCACCCCACTTCTCTGTGCCAAATTCTTCATCTCTTAAAAAAAACAATGGAGTACAAAGGGCTTCCTTCTTGTGCAGTCTGAAGTAATAATACAGTGACCTCTAAAAGAACCTGGAAATAACATCCTGAGAGGGATAGAAGATAGAAATTTTAATTGTTCACACTTAACAATTGTTTCACATGAATAGATGGGAAAAATGAACAAAGAAAACATGTAAAATACTAACTTTATCCTTTTTCTCATACTTATTGTTTTCTTCTCATTCTGTCTTGGTGATCTTTGACCAGCACACTGCATTAATTTATGCAATCTTCTAACAAATATGGAATGAACATGTATCTTATGCCCTCATGAAAGTTATATTCTAGTGGAGGAAATCTGCCAATAATAAGTACGTTCATAAAATTAGAATATCGGATTGGGCAATAATAAGTGATAAAAAGAAAAGTTTCTTATTTTTATGTCATTAAATGATAAAATTTAAATCATTTTCTGAAATATGAACCTTAGGATTAAAACATCTAACAGGAAGAAAGTCCACGCTCCTGATGTTTACAACTGTGGAGCAGGTAAACTAGGAAGAAACAAGTATGATTCTGATGAACAGAGAAAAGGGAGCCATGTTCAGGAATCCTAGCTTAGAGTTGTGATGCTGCTGTGGTTATCATTTCCACATAGATAGTTCTCATGGATCAAAACAAATCCTTTCCACTCCTCCTGACAGAGCCCTTGTTTGGAACCCAGCCCAATTAGCAATAATCTAAAAGAGTTCCCCAATACTGCATACACAGCCAGCCACATCTGTTCAAAAAAGCTCTCTGGGGCCATTGTAGTGCCTTCGCTGGAGCAGAGGAGCAGAATAAGGGTAAAAGACAGTAGGTGTCAATTTTCATGTTTAAGAGCCTGGTAATGAGTGCTCAAGAATAGGAAAAAGAAAATCAGAATAAGTAGTTTTACTAGCTTGAATTATTTTGGTCAGTTCAAAGATGATATTGTGTATTATAATTTCAAAATATGTTTATAATCCATCCATATTTTGTCATTTATTGCTGAAGTCACAACCAGGGTACCTTTCACCTGTATAACTATGTCGGTGTCCCCACAAGCCTCTCTGTTCTATCCTGTCTTATAACCCATTTCCTAAACCTCAGCAGACAACCCTGTTTTTAAAAGAAAATTGATCCATGTCATTCCTCTGTTTAAACCTTTCCGTAGATTCCCTTTGTATTTTGAGTAAAATCCAAACACAACTTGCAATGCACTGGCTACCTCTTATCACTCTCTCAGGTATTTTCTATGCTTCACCTAGGTTGTCTCTTATTTCCTCACAGATACAAAGTTTTCTATTACTTTGCTAAACAGTAATAGAAACAGTTTTCCCAGCATGGAATATCCGTTCCAAATCCTGTTGCCTGGTGAACTCATCCTGGGAAATCTCTTCTTAAATATAACTTCCTTAGAAAGGTCTTCTCTAAGTCTCTAATTAAATATAAGTTTCTCGTAGTGTCCTGTACTTTTTTTTTTTTTATTCCTG